TCAAGCAAATTTTGACAATCACAAGATCATCAACCTACACTTGTCAAAATGCATCTTCTGATCTTAACTACCCATCATTCATCGCGCTATACACAAATGAAACTACAGCAACACTGAGTCAAAAGTTCGTTAGGACAGTGACAAATGTTGGCAATGGTCCTGCTAACTATTCTATTAATATGGTCGTGCCATCAAACACAAACATAAGTGTTTATCCTTCAAGATTGTCTTTCAGCAGCAAGTATGAGAAGCTAAGTATACATTGACAGTTGAATATAATGGTAACAAAACTGGAGAAGTTGTATCGGATCGATAACTTGGGTGGATGTAATTGGTCTCCATGCTGTAACAAGTCCAATTGTGGTTGCACCAATGATCCATACTTGGTAATCACAGGGATTTTTAGACTATGAATTCTTCTGATATATGATTAAGTATATTTAACCTTCAATCAAATGAAATGCAGGTTCTTGATCCATTTTTAGATTGTGAGAACAAATATTATCTTCAAATATGAAGTAACTAACCGTACAAACCTAAATATGCATGGCTAATTAAATGGTGTAATGGTTAATATACATTAATGTTGAGAAAATTTAAAATCACAGGATCAAAAGTGCACATCTGTAATTGAAATTTGAAGGTTAAATGTGGTTAGATAAATATGGTGAAGGAGAGAAAGAGAAGACAAATATGATAATAGAGAGATAGTTTGGAGAAAAGGAGCAGATCATTTCATTCAGCAAAAGCTTACACATATATATATATACATAAGGTGGTGACAGATCCCTTAAAACCTGGAAACTTGACTCCCTATTTTGTGCTTAAATCAAGCTCCACCACATGTTACAATATCTTCTACATTCTAGAACTTTGTATTAAAATTAATTCAAAAGTTATACCAAAAATATCAAGACAAAAGTACTAACATGACAGCACTTAGCATCACATACAAAAAACAACCTTCATCACTTCTCCTTGATGCAAGTGCTGCTGGATACTCCAAGCTTAGCTCTAAGAAGCTCAAATCTTTGTTTCTGCAGCGCCTTGGTAAAAATATCAGCTAGTTGATCTTCACCACAACAATACAAAATATGAACTTCATTTTCCCTTTCAGCTTCTCGAATGGAATGGTATTTGATTTTAATGTGTTTAGTCTTTCCATGAAAGACTGGATTCTTTACCATGGCAACAACAGATTTGTTATCACAAAGGACTTCAGTTGCTTTGCTTGGATGAAACCCCAAGTCAATCAAGATTTTTCTCAACCATAAAGCTTGATTAACAGCACTGGAGGCAGCAACGTACTCTGCTTCAGCTGTTGATTGAGCCACGGACCCTTGCTTCTTTGTGCACCAGCAAATGACACCTGATCCAAGAGTGAAACAATATCCTGAAGTGCTTTTCATGTCATCTTGCGACCCAGCCCAGTCACTATCAGTAAACCCCAACAATTTCATAGATATGGTTCTTTTATAAAACACACCATAATCAATGGTGCCTCGAATGTACCTCAAAATTCTTTTGGCTGCTCTGAGATGAGTTTCAGTTGGTAAATGCATAAACCTTGATAGCACACTTGTTGCGTACATAATATCAGGCCTCGTGGCTGATAAATACAATAGGGAACCAATCAAACTGCTATAAATTGAAGCATCGACCAAACCAGACTCATCTTTCTTCATCAGTTTCTCTCTTTGAACTGCAGGCGTACTTATTGGTTTGCATTTGTCAAGACAAAACTTCTTCAATATTTCGGTAGCATATTTCTTCTGAGAAACAAAGATTCCTTGAGAAGATTGATTAACCTCCATTCCCAAGAAATAAGTCATTTTTCCCAGATCATTCATTTCAAAGACCTTCTTCATTTGCTCCTTGAAGTCTTTGATAGACTGTGTGCTGCTGCCAGTCACCAACAGATCATCAACATAGAGAGAAACTACGAGAAAATCATCACTTTGAAGTCTAATATACAGGGTTGCTTCACTTCTCTTAAACCCCAAAATTCAGTAAGTAGCTATCGATCCGTGCATACCAGGCCCTAGGTGCCTGTTTCAAGCCATAAAGAGCTTTTCTTAACAAATATACCTGGTCTCCTGCTCCTCTAAAACCTTCAGGCTGCTCTACATAAATTTTCTCTTCAAGGTACCCATTAAGGAAAGCGGACTTAACATCCAATTGAAATACTTGCCAACTTTGGTGTGCTGCAACTGCAAGTAGCAATCTAATGGTATCAAACCTTGCAACTGGTGCAAAGGTTTCATGAAAATCAATTCCATACTGTTGCACATACCCCTTTACAACCAGCCTTGCTTTGTACTTGTTGAGTGTGCCATCTGAATTCAACTTAATCTTGAACACCCATTTAGTTCTAAGAGTCTGCTTGTCAGGAGGTCTAGGTACAAGTACCCATGTATTATTCTTGTTAATCATATTGAGCTCCTCCTCCATGGCAGCCCTCCATTCAGGAATTTGCAATGCATTGTCTATACTTGTTGGCTCCAACATAGCGACATTGCATCTGCTATATATATCTTCAATGGATCTAGTACCTCTTACTGCAAAATCATCAGAGTCCTCCTCATCCTCTGGAATCAGCTCTTCTTCTTGGGCACTTTGTTCTTGATTAGTGATCTGGAAAGCTCTTCCTCTGGAATCAACTCTTTTTCTTGGGCACTTTGTTCTTGATTAGTGATCTGGAAAGAAGAAACAACCATTTTCTTCCAGTCCCATGCAGCATCCTCATCAAATTTTAACACTTCTACTTACATGGATTTGTTGTGAAATAGGATTTAAAACCCTATACTCTTTAGAAGTGTTGTTGTATCCCACAAATATTCCAACTTCAGCTCTTTGATCAAGTTTATCCCTTTTAACGTCAGGAATATAAGAGTAACAGATACAGCCAAATACTTTAAGATGAACAATTGATGGCTTGGTTCCAATCCATGTTTCGTATGGAGTCTTTCCTTCAACAGCTCTCGTCGGCAATCTATTTTGTAGATAGACAGCGGTATTTACAGCTTCAGCCCATAGCACCTTAGGCAGACCTTTCTCAAACAGAAGACACCGAGCCATATTCATAATGGACCTATTCTTTCTTTCACTTACACCGTTTTGTTGTAGTGTGTAAGTGACTGTAAGTTGATGATGAATTCCTGCTTTCTGAAGAAAATCCTTGAATTGATTGGAAGTGAACTCGGTCCCATTATCAGACCTTAAGATTTTTATCAAAGAGCCACATTGGTTTTCAACAGTTGCTTTAAACCTTTGAAATGCAACAAATACTTCAGATTTATGTTTCAGAAAGTAAACCCAACAGAACCTCGTAAGATCATCAATGAATAAAAGAAAATATTTGCTGCCGTTATAAGAAGGAGTGCTCATAGGTCCACACACATCAGTGTGTATTAGTTGGAGCTTTTCAGTAGCTCTCCAGGCTTGATTAATAGGAAATGGTGATTGACCTAGCTTCCCAAGTTGACAAACCCCACATACATTTGAGGTTTCATTTATGGAAGGCATATCTGCCACAAAATCCTTATTTTGCATCAATTTTAAAGATTTAAAATTGATGTGACCAAGCCTCTTATGCCAGACATAAGTTTCATCTTGAATGCTGACATAAGCTCCAATGTCGGTATGTTTCCAATCAAGAGGGAAGCTTCTGTTGTTCATTTTGACTGAGAGCAATTTTATACCAGTTGGATCCATGATTTCACATGTTATATCTTTAAATAACATGAAATAATTTTTATCAAGCAATTGGCCAACACTGAGAAGACTTTGGCTAATTTCAGGAACAAATAATACATCAGATATAATCTTCATACCTGAGGGAGTTTGAACAACAACTGCTCCTTTGCCCTTTGCATCTACAAGTCTGCCATCTCCAAGTCTGACTTTGGAGAAATAATTTTTGTCCAGCCATTCAAAAATGTTCAAGTTAGCTGTCATGTGATGCGTGCATCCACTATCAACAAGCCACACATCATGATCTTGAGCTGTAATATTGCATTCTCCAGCAATAGAAGCAACAAACAACTTCTCTTCAGGATCTTCAATATTTTCAGTAACTTGAGCTGGCTGGGCTTGAACTTGAGCTGACTGGTTTTGATTTATTTTGCATACCTTATCCACATGACCAAACTGTTTGCACAACTTGCACTGAACTCCAGGTCTGTACCAACAGAACTTGTCTGTATGATTGGTCTTTTTACAATAGGGACAAGGTGGATACTTGGATCTTCTATATCTCCCTCGGTTGTTATTTTGCTCCTTCTTCTCCTTACCATATCTTTCATTTTGTTGCCTTTTTTATTCACCATCCAACTGAGCTTTAGATCTTTGAACAGCCACAAGAGCGATTTCACTTGTACTCTCTTCCTCTCTAAAAGCTTTCCTTTTTCCACTGCTAGAAGAGCGTTGGATAGTTCATTCAATGTGACACGAGACATATCCCAAGTATCTTCAATTGAGGAAATTTTTGCTTCAAACTTTTCTGGAAGTGTCACCATCACCTTCTCAACAATCCTCTGCTCTTCTATTTTTCCCCCTAACAATCTGATCTGATTGACGATTTTCATGATTCTATCAATATAATCTTTTCACCTTTTTCAGTCTCTTTTCATTCTTAACATCTCAAATTCTTTTCTTAGATTCAATATTTGTATTTGCCTCGTCCTATCACTCCCTTGGAATTCTTGCTTCAGCATATCCCAAGCTTCTTTGGCAGATTCATTTGTCATGATCCTGGTAAAAATTGAATCTGAGACAGCTGCGTGAATGAAAGACAGGGCTTTTGGACCTTTTGTGATCTCTTCTTCATGACTTCTGATCTGCTGAAGAGTTGGGTTTGCTCTCAAAGGTTCTGGAGCGCTGTCTTCCTCAACATACTTCCATAATCCAAGACCCTTCAAGTATGTTTTCATCTTCACTGCCCAAACTTGGTAGTTCTTGCCATTAAAGATAGGAGGTGAAAGGGGAGAGCTGCTAGAGGCCATGTGAAAGGAAATTGAACAAAAAAAAACTTGGACAAGTTAAACTTGGTAGTCGATCTTGCTGTGTTTTTCTCTCTCAAAACAGTCCCTAAAAGATCAATTTTTCTCTGATGCCAATTGAAGGAGAGAAAGAGAAGACAAATATGATAATAGAGAGATAGTTTGGAGAAAAGGAGCAGATCATTTCATTCAGCAAAAGCTTACACATATATATCTACATAAGGTGGTGACAGATCCCTTAAAACCTGGAAACTTGACTCCCTATTTTGTGCTTAAATCAAGCTCCACCACATGTTACAATATCTTCTACATTCTAGAACTTTGTATTAAAATTAATTCAAAAGTTATACCAAAAATATCAAGACAAAAGTACTAACATGGCAGCACTTAGCATCACATACAAAAAGCAACCTTCATCATATGGTAAGGACCAAAATCAAAATTTGGTGATATTTGAGTGACTAAAATTGCAAA